TGTGTGGTTGTCGGTGTAGATGGTGGTACCACCGGAAGCAATCTGGTTCTCGGTGTGAATGTGATGGTACGCAGTAAATCCTCCACTGACCTGTCTTCTATGACCCGGCAGACTTCATGTTTCCACAGGTTAACCAAGGTCCTCTCGTCCTGACATTCATCTCCCTCTATGTAGAGCATTCCTTGCCAGATGCGGGACAAATCGCGTAGGTTGAAGATGTAGTGGAACTTTGCCGGCGTTGGGAGCATCTTGATCTAAAATCGGGGGAATGGTGGGGTAGTCACTGTTTATCAAGAGCAAATTATACTACAGACAAAAGTCACGCTTGAAAAGGGTCAGAGAGAGGAAATTCACCAACCACACCAAAAGGACGAAAGAAGAAGGAAGAGAGAGAGAGAGAGACAGACGATACACCAAAGTAAGTGTCGCCCATGTGCACCCGAGCGTAGATGTCCATGGGCGACAAATCGCCAGTGAAGGGGTTGCACCTTCTGCAGACGAAGCAGTGGGTCTATTTATATCCCCCCGACCCACTGGGGGTTTGAGATATTTGAATAGAACTTTTGAACATTTGATGGTTCCAGTTGCCGGGTGATATTGACCTTTGACGGAAGTGTAAGGATCTGATAGGACGTAGGTCTTCATAAACAATCCCCGGTAAACCTCGCTGATAAACACGGGGCTGCATGATGGCGACCAGAACCTAGTGTTTTAGTTTAGTATGAGGTTTTATGGCACTCGCAACTGCATAACAGAACTAGTGTGTAGGCCTATGTAATATCGTCTGTATTCTTAGGATAATGTGTAATCTATGAAAGCCACCAAACCTAATGTGTATATGTGATATCTTTTGTGATCCAAAGATATTGTGTAATTTATGATAGCCAACCAGCACTAGTGTGTATGTAGTATCCTGTGTGATCATATATGTTGTCTATGATAGCGACCTGAGCTTCTGTGCATTTAATATCATCTGTACTCTTATATATAGTGTATTATGTGATAGCGACCAGCATTGGTGTAGGCCCTATGTGTAACTCATCTGCATACCTATGACACTTCAATTTATGTAGACGATTTTTGCGAAACACTATATTATAACTGTTACTTGCCTTTGTACACCAAATGTTCCCACACTCACAAGTGAATAAGATTTCTTTCCCGTTACCTGGTGTTTCCTCCACTGACCTGTCTTCTATGACCCGGCAGACTTCATGTTTCCACAGGTTAACCAAGGTCCTCTCGTCCTGACATTCATCTCCCTCTATGTA